GTAGAACGCTGTGCCTGATTTGCCAAACGAATCAAATCCTTTCCATTTCCAGCTGGCATCCCCTGTCGATGATGCCAACTAATCTCCAAGATTGGGCCTTTTACGTGATGGATTTGATCTCTCGTGGACCCTTGCCAGCTCGTGTCATCGCTGAACGGCAAGGCAAATGCTGAAAATCTCCACATCATTTTGTTTCTGAATGTCATTTTCTTGGATTCTCTAGATTTTGTTGACTAATTACTTTTTGAGAACGGGTACTTGGCAATAAAGCTTTCGCTCAAATGTTCTTCTTTATAATGATCTTCATGAGTGGTTTGATTTCAAATCTGTATAGAGTTGCGTATTTGAACCATGAGAACCAGGAGGATTGGGAAATGCAAGCTGAAAGCCAGGTTAACCGAGTTTACGGTGTGCCACATGACCAACGATTACAAGTTTTTACTTGTTGTGGTCTCGCTGTGGAATGAAAGTCTACTTTGTGCTCGAATCCATAAACGCACCCTTTCTGGCGCAATGATTTGTGTTTCTGGGGGAAAATCAAGAATTCAGTGCACCAGAAAGGATGTGTTTCCATAGTAAATACACGCTGAGACTCAAAATTTATTGGTCAAAGCGAAGTTTTGGATCGAAAGTGTAACTGATATTGAAATGGCGATTCCTATTCGAATGAGCCGATCCAAACGAAGTAGAGAGTCGTTTTTTGACTCGGTGGATGCTTTACCGTAGTCGGCTTGTCGGACAGTAAAGCCACACTGAAATATACAGGGTGCGTCATAATTATTGCAACAAGAGTTCAAAGACCGTTTTCCAAACAGGAAAACGGGCATGTCATGGGCGTGTAAAGCCAATAACAATCAAAATTGGACCTTCATGCAAGATGGAGCTCCCCCTCACACGAAAAAGACGGTTCAGGACTGGTGTGTGGCCAACTTTCCCTCAGTGATCACCAAGGATGAATGGCCTCCAAACTCACCGGATCTCAATGTGATGGACTTTTCCATTTGGGCAATCTTAGAGGCTAATGTCTGCTCTTTGACCTTGAAGAAGTCTTTGACCAAAGGATGGAAGGTGACTCCTCAAGATGACATTCGGGCCGCAGTGGAGGCATATCCGAACCGATTAAGGGCTGCTTTCAAGGCAAAAGGCGGCCATATCGAATGATCTCTTGTTTCCTTAATTGTTACTGTTAAATAAAGCTATTTCTGTTTAAAAATCTTCTTCCAGTGAAACTTCTTGGTCTGCAATGCCTTGGGTATCTTGTTGCAATAATTGTGACGCACCCTGTAGATATCTCGTGGAAATTTATTGAGTTCTGAACTCTTTTCTAAAGTTCTTGTTCTTGTTCATAATAAAAAAGATGCTCCAAACGCACTCCCTGTTCTCATTCTTGGTGAAATCCTTGAGATAAAAGCGATCTTCATCACCCAAAGTGCCCTGTAACGTGAGCTAGATTGGTGTTTTCCCTGAATAGCTTTTCCAACTGCACACCATGCCCACTGATCTTGACCGTCTGATCTTGACCGCAGTGCTGCAAAATTGGTTCTGCTATAGCTGTAAAAGAGGGAAAAAGGTAACTTTTTTTGGAAAGGTTACGGTAGACAAAGCTAGGCTAAAGGCAAGGCAAGACAAAGCAGAGATAATCTTTTCAAATCACAAATCAAAGCATCAAGGCGACCGTAATCACAAGAAAAAGCTTTTTAAGAGACAGATTTTCTCTTCTGTATTCTTTAGATCATCCAGATCATCTTTAGATCTTTAGACTGCCTCATTTTATGGTTATTTTAAAAGCAACCGGACTACGGTAGCTTGTTAGCAAGCGCACCTTATAGATTATTGGCTTTAGCAAGCGCACCTTTTAGATTATTCGCGGCAAATTGGCTACCTGCACTAACCTTTGGATATGCTTTCTCGAATCCGAATCCTTTCTCCAACCAACCGGCTGCAACACCACCGTTAATGCCATGTTGCACAGGGCAACGAAACGCTGAAGATTGGTTTATGAACATCTATTTCATTCTGCTTAACATCTTAAAAATAACCCCCCGTCATCGATGAACACCTCGGAAATTGTGGCTTTGAACTCGGGAGCTGAGGTTTTGTATCTTAAAGTTTTATTGCTCAACTACTGAATACTGACAATGAGTGTCTGACCAACCTGAATAATAAGCCACCATCGAGTACGATAAACACAATCTTTTTTGCCGTGTTTTCAACAATTCTAAATATCATTTAAGTACGAGTTTAGGATCGGTTACGAGCTGAAAAAAACGTATAAAAAGTGAGTAAGTGATTCGAATTCTTGAAAAAAAGCAGTAAAACGTCTTCAAATCCATTTGGGTCTTTCATAAAACAAGATAAAAGAGCTTTGTAAAAAGATTTGATTGTTCCAAATACTTGTTTTTAATCTACTTGACTTCATCTATGTATCTATCGATCAAGACAAGTTGTAGGTGGATAAATAATCCAAATTCAATTCAAAGAGACATCACTTACTCAGCAAACAGATGCCCATCCAGAAAAACGTCCTCAATCTCGAAATCATCATAAACTTTTCCAGCGCTCATTGAATTAAACTCGAGCACTAGTTTAATTGCATAAAACTTGTAGTTTCCGTCGTTTTGTCTTTCCTGGAAAACGTTAATGGAAGCTAACTATAAGTTGTAATAAAGACGTGAAGGAATTGGCAAGGAAAAGTAGATTTCCGGAATTAACTTAGATAAAGATACGCTAGTTTTCGATAAAAATTTATTAGTCTAACTTTGCACGCTTCGTTCTCCGCACTGCTTTATGCTACAGTGTGCGCTTGGGTGTCAAAGGATAGCGCTCCTAATCTAGTATTTTTTGATACCTAAAATTTTGGAATTTTGGTGATAAATTCATATTGAATTCTTTGAAATTTGTTCATTTTTCTCGTTTTCAGATCCTCGCCGTTGTCGAAAAGATGGAGAAGCAACTCGCATAGGATTCTCGTCGTTTCCACATAGCTTTCAACTTAAATGAATGAATGAATGTGCCTCGTTTCTCTCTTTTGTTTGATTCGCTTGTAGATATTTGTGCCATTCATCCATCTCACTCGCTCGTTCACTTCATTTCTTCGTTTTTTTTCTTTTGAGGGCCTTCCCCCCTCTCTTCCCCTCGTCTTCTCGTTTCTTTCAATTCATTCTTCCCTGTTTTTTGTGAGATTCGACTTGATAATAAAAATTTAAGAGTAAAATCGGGATTTTGAGCGAATCCAGGGAGTGGGACAAATGCGACTTTTTTTTTGCGCACCCGGACATTTGCGCACCTTTTTTTCCGCACCTTGCCCATTAGCGCACCTTTTTTCGCGTTTTAAAAAAGCTCTAAAAAGCTAATATTAACCAATTTCTATTCCAAAAGTTGTTTTTCTAGGTAATTTTAGGGCGTAGAATCGAAATTTTGACATATCAGAGCTTGTGGAAACAAACGGACGGAGTTATACAAAGAGAAAGATCGACAATTTTCTGTAATTTGATCTAGCCGGCTAGTTTTGACCTAGTTTTGTCTTTCAAATTGGTTCCACAAGCTCTGATATGTCAAAATTTGATTTCGACACCCTCAAATTACCTAGAAAAACAACATTTGGAATAGAAATTGGTTAATATTAGCTTTTTAGAGCTTTTTTAAAACGCGAAAAAAGGTGCGCTAATGGGCTAAGTGCGGAAAAAAAGGTGCGCAAATGTCCGGGTGCGCAAAAAAAAAGGTCGCATTTGTCCCACTCCCCGAATCCAAGCTTTTTAGCAGCACAAGGTTTCCGTTAGAATTAGAATTACGTTAGAATTATCCGTTAGAGCGGGGTTACGGTAGAAAAGCCGAACAATAACTTCAACAATTTATCACTTTTGAAAATGAAATCTCTATTTTGTTTTTGATCGTCGAGGATAGCAGCGGCTTTCGTTTTCGGTTTCGACTGGACTTATTGGCAAAGTTTCAGCTCTGGAACAGAATAACGAGTCAATAAAGTCAATTATGGTGCAATTCTTGCAATCTTTTCCTTTTCCCGATTCAATTCTCTTTTCGCGATCGCCTCTGGGAAAACGGAAAGATCGCTATCGAGCTGTCTGTGTTTTTTTCTTTCTTTTTTGCCCCCCGTTTCCCTTTTCTCTTTTCCATTTCCCAGTTTTGGCCATTTTGTGTCTCTCTTTGGTCATTTTTACAATTTCTTTTTCGTTTTTATGCAGTTTTTGCTTGCAATCGATCACTTACACTTCAAAGCTCAATGTTTCCTGTCACAAAACGCTTTCAGTACCATTCTTTGCCTTTTGTTTAATTTAAAATTAGGCAAACTTTAAAAAGTACCATTTAGATGTCTAGGAATCATCTTTCAGCTTCCTTTAGATAAAAACAAAAACGATTTGCGCAGGCCGGGAACCGAACCCGGGTCGCCCGCGTGGCAGGCGAGCATTCTACCACTGAACCACCTGCGCGCTGAGCAATTGGGGAAATTGTGGACCTATAAACGCTCGGCTTCTCAAAAGCTCCACTGATCGCCGAGTTTCGTTACAAATTCGTACAACTACGTCCTCCGCGTGTTCTACCCGCAACCAAAACGCTAGACGAGTTTTTAAGGTTTGACGCAGGCGACTATTGGTTTAAACGTCGGATCCCGTTAATCTGGAACGCACATGGCATTTTCAAACGATTACCCTTTAAATTGGAGCATTTTGAGTGCAACTCTTTGTCACTGGACCGGCTCTTCACGAGCGTACCTTGTACTTGCGAGGATAAACGCACGCCTTCCGGTGCACGTCAATTTCCCATTTTCCGAGAAATAAAGAGATCTCCACACGCCCGAAAGGTGCTTACAATTTCTCAAAAATTGTCAGCGGTCCTTTCTCTCCTCGAAAATCGCTTATCTTTTTCGAATTCTGGGTAAACAATGCTATCTTTTGTGTCGGCTTTCTGCCGGGAGGTGGTCATTGTGAATTTCTAAATTTCAAAATTTCTCAATTCCCCGGTGCTACAGTCAAAAAATTTTCAGAATGGCCACCCCGTCGCTGCGCCTCTCGTCCGGACACTCAATTCCGGCTCTCGGATTGGGCACATGGCTCTCGAAACCGGGCGAGGTTTGTTCGCTTGGCCATTTACCAGCTCTTTTTGTTTTTTTTGCGAATCTGCTCTCAAAATGTGGCCCTTGTGGCCAAATGTGGCCCTTTTAATTGGGCTACACGATGGCACGAAAAACTCTTGTTTAGTAAAAGAAAAATGGCCGGAAAGTGAGCAAAATGGCCGTAATTTGTACATCGCAATACAAACTACGACGTGCCGTCTTTTTTTTACATCTTTGGTACGTCTTTTTTCGTCGTTGTTTGTATTGTGTTGTACAATCGGTGCTCTCACTTTGCGCCCATTTTTCTTTTCCTAAACAACAGTTTTTCGAAAGGTTTTTTGTACTATCGTGTAGCCCAATTGAAGGGTCACATTTTGAGAGCAGACTCGCAAAAAGCGAAAACGCTGGTAAATGGCATTTTTCGTTTTTACACAGCGCCGTAATCTTCATGATCTCTAATCGAATTTCCGCAGGTCGGTCAAGCGGTCGAAATGGCGTTGAAAGCCGGCTATCGCCACATCGACTGCGCTCACGTATACGGAAATCAAAAAGAGATCGGCGAAGTGTTCGCCAAAGTTTTCGACGGACAATTGCAGGTCGGTTGACGTTCTTTGTGCTTCTTTGTGCTTTGTGCTTCCCCCCCTCCAAACGCATCTTTTCTGGCCTACTTGATCTTTTCGCATTTCAGCGATCCGATGTGTTCGTCACTTCGAAAATCTGGAACACTTTCCACTCGTACGAGAAAGCGAAAGAGGCAGTGGACATCATTTTGGGCGAATTGCAGCTGGGTGAGTGGTGACGGCTCTTTCTTTTACAAGATTTTGATAAACTCAAGCAATTACGGCTTCAGACTACGTCGATCTGATGCTGATCCATTGGCCGATGGGCTACGAGGAGGGAAACGAGATCTTGCCGAAGGTGGGCGAAAGTTGACTTCTTTTTCTCCTATATCAATTTCTTGCAGACGCCGGACGGGACAAAGATTCGCTACTCGAAAGAGGACTATTTGGGCACTTGGAAAGCGCTCGAAGAAGCGGTAAACGACGGGAAAATACGGTAAAGAATACGGCAAAGCTTTTGCACCAAAATCTTTACCGTAATCTCCGCTAAACCCTCGCCTCTTTTCGTTTTCAGCTCGCTCGGCTTGTCCAACTTCAATCACAAACAAATCGAACGACTCATCGGACACTCGAGAATCAAGCCCGCCGTTTTGCAGGTGAGTTAAAAAAACAATTTTTTTTTAAAGCTTAAACTAAAATGAGTTCAAACAGGTCGAACTGCACCCGTACTTTCAACAAAAAAAACTCCGCGATTTCTGCAAAAAGCACCAAATTGTCGTCACCGCCTATTCGCCTTTGGGAAATCCGACGAATCCTTTCCGAAAAGTTTGCTCTCCAAATTAAATTAAATTAAAATTAAAAGACAAGAAAAGTACCGTAGCTCGTGATTCTTTTCGAACACTTGAGAGTGCTTTCGTCTTTCTCTTTTCCATTTGATTCGATTCTAGAGTTGATCTATGTATTGGGAAACAGTCAGAGTACCCAAAAAGTTGGCTTACTTTGGCCAAAAAGTTGGCTAAAATCGAATTTCTTTCAGACCGGCGATCCGTCGATTCTCACCGACGAGGTGGTGCTGAAAATCGCGGAGAAATCTGGAAAAGTGAGTCCAAGTGGAGATATTGGGTTGTCCAGTTATGAATACGGGTTTTTACTGACTTAGTAAACTACTCCAAGATACCGAAATCAAGAAAAGATATATATATGAGTATTATTCGAAAGCTGAAGATCTCCTCTACATCTTGATATAAAAAGGTTTTGAATTTGGTCAGCTTTTTGGGCAAATTGAATGACTACTTTATAAGAAGGAGGTGGCCCCAAAAATGGAAGGTGCTTCTGGATCAAGTTTTGGCTGCGCTCAGAAATTGAGTTAATCGTTTGATGTTTGGCCAATAGATATATCAATACAACTTTTTTTTAAATATAACAATATCAGAGCATCTTTACTTTCCTTTTCTTTTCTGGGCGGTTATTTTACACCATAAAACTTGAGGAATAGCTAAACTGAAATCGGTTTTCCCGAAAGCGACTTCTGCTCACTGTGCAGTCAATTTGCCCAAAAGCTGAACAAATTTCAAAGGTTTTTATATCAAAATGTAGAGGAGATCTTCAGCTTTCGAATGATATATAACACTCATATACATCTGTTCGATATCTTGAGAAATTTACAAAATAGTAAAAACACGCATTCATAACTGGACAACCCAATATTTTTGAATCGGTATTTAATTTTACGCTTTTTTAATATAATAATTTTAATATAATTATAGCATACCTGTGGATTTCTCAAAAAAATGAGTTTTTTAAAAGGTTTTCTCAAAAGTTTCCAAATAGAAAAGGTGTTTTATTTCAATGCGAAAATGGTCATAAACACCGATTTTGCATAGCAAAGCTTTTAAAGGAGAATTCGTTTCGGAAAACTTTCGGAGAAGAAAAAAACCCTTCCAAAAGTCATTTTGTAAGTCATTTTGCACTGAAAACAGCCGAAATTCGACTTTCGACTTGGCACTTTCCGCTTCGACTTAGAAACTTAGCTTCGACTGGGAACTGACCCAACCGCTCGCTCGATTCCTTTACTCCCAATTCATTCTTGTGAAAACGAATGCGAACTACCCTGCTTCATATAATTATAGCTCCACCTATCGATATTTTTCAAAAGTTTCAAGAGAAAAGGTGGAATTTCAAGGCTGAAATGATCATAAACACCGATTTTGCATAGCAAAGCTTGCTTGTAAGCTTGTAAGCAAAGCAAAGCAAAAGCAAGCAAAGCAAAGCAAAGCAAAGCAAAGCAAACCAAGCAAAGCAAAGCTTGTAAAGGAAAATTCATTTCGGAAAACTTTTCGAGAAGAAAAAAAGCCTTCCAGAAAATCTTTTAAAGAACTTATTTTTTGAGAAATCCATGGGTGGAGCCATAATTATTCGTTAAAAAAACCCTTTTCAGTCGCCAGCTCAAGTGGCTCTTCGATGGGCGATTCAAACCGGACTCGTCGTCATCCCGAAATCAACGAGTGAACACCGAATCAAGGTGGGGGAAATACCTGAATATTACAACCATAATATTTGCTAATTACCGTGCTTTAATAGTGACTTGTCAAACAGTTGCTGAATGAATCCAGGCAATCATCAATTTTCAGGAAAACGGAGCCCTCTTCGACTTTGAGCTTTCACAAGGGGAACTGGCGGAAATCGATGGCTTGGATAAGAATTGGCGAATTCTCGATTTGACCCAACGAGATGGCGATCATCCACATTTCCCATTCTCGGAAGAATTCTGATTGTTTGATTGTTTTCTTTTTTTGATTCAATTTCAGGTATTTTTTCTAAAGTTGTGATTTATTTCAAACACAAATTCTTTATTTGCACAAATTTTTGCACTAAATACAACGGAGAATCCGATAACTGACATCACTATTTATGAAAGCATTACTAATCACAGTTGACGACAAAAAGACACCAAAGTTTCGCTACAATCTCCAATCTATGTATTCACCGTTTGCACAGTCCGGTTTTGGGAGCACTTTCCATGATCAGCTTTTGCACCTAGAAAGAGAAATCATTAGATAAAAGAATCCGATAAGTGACAATGGTGAAATCACGATTTATCACAGTTGACGCCAAAAAAGGCACCAAAGTTCCCTGCCAATCTCTCTGAATTGTGGGTGATCGGCACCGCCGAGAAGTCCCAAAATGACACATTCACTTGTGGTGAGCACGGCGCCGCCTTGAGATAATTTTAAGATTAGATTCAAATTCGATAGATTTAAGGAAGAGGCCGATTTCAGATATTTCAGCCGATCAGCCGATTTCAGCCGAACATGTTAAATGTTGAGATAAAGGGAACACCAGAAATTCGAAGCGATTTGAAGCAATTTTAAGCGATTTTTTGATCGTGACTCTCTGGTTGTTGATAGGGAGAATAGTTCGATAGGAATTTCTTTTTTTCCTTTTTTTTGTCGCTTCCGCCGAGTAGCTGAGGTTGATGCCTTTTGCATTCGAAAATCATCACAAAAATCACTCGCATTTCTCGTGATTTCAATTTTTCACCTGCCAAAGCACGCTCACGACCAAAAAGCACTCGAGTTTACTGTCCGAATGCGAGCGATTCCCGGAGCTACTCGACGATCTTCGAGATTTCCGGTGTCATTTCGATCGTTCACGACTTTCACGACTTTCTGGCCATTTTCCTCCTTTACCGGGCCCGATGCTGAGGAAATATTTGGTGATTCGATGCGGAAGCGTTGTGAGTAGTTGAAAGTTTTCCGAACATTTCGCTGAGCCAACCCATTTTTCGCTTTTACCCCGAAAAACTCAACGGGAAATACGCTTTGTAAAGGCTTAAATGTGGTGTCGAAGGCTTAAATGTCGTGTCAAAGGTAAAGCTTCGTCATTTTTCGAAATTTTCGAAACATCGAGTTTTCATTTTTCGATCATCATTATCAATTTATCAACAAACAAAACGATAGAAGGAAAACGATAGAAGGAAAGCAATAGAACGAAGACGATAGAACGAAGACGATAGAAGGAAATTAAATAGCTTTCAAATAATTCGTTGGTCATCGAAAATCTTGAGTTTTTGCTATGATTTTCGTTAAAAAAGATCGATTTTTATCAAAAATTGTGCGTTTGATAAAGCTTGATTGAAATCTTTGTTGATGACATCGATTGAAGAGCTTCGGCAAGGAAAGCCTTGTTTGATTTTGGCTGATTTTGGCTCTTATGAAGGAAGTGACTTTTTGTCTTCTTGCCAAAATAATCTTTTTTCATTTTTCCTAAGGCGCTTTCTTTCTGCTCCTGACTCCTACACATTTTTCGGGGCTTTTCGTAGCGCAATCATTTTCACAACAGCGAAAAGAGTGCAAAAGAATTGGAAAATTCCTTTTCGTTTGCTATTGATTATAAAAATTAATTCAAAATTGATTCTAGATTCAAAATTGATTCAAAATCGGAATGCAAGTCAACGAAGTGGTTTCTTTTGAAGAAAACGCCGAATCGATCGGACACGGCGGATACGGAAGGGTTTTTCTGCTCCGGAATCACACTCCGTAAGGGATTTTTGTATGGCAATTGCTCGGTTTTAATCATTTTTCAATCTTTACTGAATCTTTAAAAAAATTTACAGTCAAGCTGTGATCAAATTGATCGATTGTGACGAGGCCGCTTCGGCGGAGATTCTCCGAAGAGAATACGAGACTTTGGAGAAGCTCTCGCATCCGAATGTCGTCTCGTACATCGGCCTTCGAGAAGTGCAGAATGATTTGGGAAGGAAAACGGGCATTCTCATGGAATACTGTCCGAGGGGCGCATTGAGAAAAAGTTCGTTGCACACATTCAACTTTCTTAAAAATCAGTATCAGCGCCATTTCAGCTGCACAAAGAGCTTTCCTTGAGCTTCAGCTTTCCTTGAATCAACGTTGTTGATTCAAGGAAAGCTGCGTTACTATGTTTATTTGCAAGGCTTGGAATCTGTTTTGAATTTGCTTCAAATCTTCAATTTGGATCTAGGCTTGGATCCAGGCTGAGTCTCGAACTGCCATACTGTTTTTGACCTTCCGAGCCGATTGGAGAGAACAAAGTCTCTCTGTGTCGCTTTGGAAACCGTGTCGGCGTAGTGTAGTGGATAGGGAGTTCGAATACGAAACTGACCGAATCTTTTCCCCCCGAATTCGAGTCCCATCAACGGCACCATTTGCTTTTTTGAACCTTTGCACACTGGAAAACACTGGAACAACTGGAGTTGGAAACTTCAGAACTTGTCATACACACCAAAAAGAACCTGAATCTTCAAATTATTGGCATTTTTGTGCAAAAGTTCAGAAAAGCAAAAGCTTGGTGTTGGTGGGACTCGAACTCGGGGGAAAAAAGTCGGTCAGCTTCGTACCCCAACCAACCATCCACTGCACCACTAAACCACGCTTTCGACGGCGACGAATAAAGCCTTTGTTCTCTCCGCTCTTTCAAAGTTTAAAATTTGCCTCCTTTTTTGGAATCAAAATTTATATTGAAAATTACAAACATTATAATTTCATCAGATCGGAAGCTTTGCAGCTGAATTTTTCAAAACACTTTGCTCTGAACCCCTTCTAACAACCCTTCTAATAACCCTTCTAACAACCCTTCTAACCAACAAATTTGGGCCCGATCCGAGGCGGTAAGAGCTAAAGCCGAGACGTTGCTCTCGTTCAGTCTCAGTCGATTCCCCAATTCCAGTCCTACTCGATCCCCGATACATCTACTCGATGAACACGGTCTTTTGCTGGATCGAGCAACTATTTGATGCTGTGGACTATTTGAAGCGAAACGACACAATCCACCGAGACATAAAGCCGGAAAAGTTCGTGCATTTCTCCGGCAAAACCAGGCAAAACCAGACAAAAAAAAACCCTCAAATGTTTCAGCATCTTTGTGACCGAGGATTTTGCTTTGAAGCTCGGTGACTTTGGAAGCAACAAGATCAGTGAAATGACTTGTGCTGGCACTTTCGTTGGAACGTTTCGATATATGAGCCCTCCACAGAGTGAAGAGATGGCGAGAAGTTCGACGATGGAGGTTTGAGAGATTCTGATATCTGATTCTGATGGGAGTTCCAAATTTGAACAAATAAACAAATTTTTGAGAATCTAGGGAAAAAAATCGGTGGGATCGGCCTATTCGAGCATAAGAGTTGAAAAAAATGAGTCAAAAATCGACTACCCAATCGAATCCACTGCTCCACGCCTAGAGCAGTGGATTCGATTGGGAAAAGCTTCGATTAGGCTTATAAATATCGAATCATCTTGAGGATTTCCCCATCAAAATCATCGATTCTCACGAAAATGTAACGCTAGTAGAATCGATGATCGCAAAAATATCAATAGTCATCTCAATAATGACGAAACTGTTGAATCTATAGAAGAATTTTCTTAAAACTCATTTGAGAAATTGTTGATTTCCCGAGACAAATTGTTTGATTGATGTTGATTTCTCGAGAGATTGTTGATTTCCGAGAGATGGTTGCTTTCTCGAGAGATTGTTCCCACTCTAGGCCTCTCACCGAAACGACGTCTATAGTTTGGGCTTGGTTTGCTGGGAGTTGGTGGAACGAAGGTTTCTTGGCTTTCCAATTTATTGAAAAAAACGTTCAGGCATGCTTTCGCCGAGTACGGAATCACTCATTTTGATCATTATCGCTTCTGGATCGACATCTACGGGAAAGTTCTCGGGAACATCGAAGAGCCCACGTGTCAGGGCACGCTCAAAGAACTCATTAAAAGGTTCGTGAAACTTTTTTTTTGAGTCACTTTTCGCTATGAAAGATCAGAAAGGGTCTACAAGGGTCTTCAGACTAGCCTAATCCTCAAAATATGCCGCAAAATTCGCTCAAAACCAATTAAGTGCATTAAGTGTGCATTTCAAATTTGCCTTGTCTTTTGATGATCTTTCAGATTTGATTTGACTTTTGATGATCTTTCAGAGCAGCCAAGTTGACAGCCGCAATTTAGTCGGAATTTAGCCGCAATTTAGCCGCAATTTAGCCTCAATTTAGCCACAATTTAGCCGCAATTTAGCCGCAATTTAGCCGCAATTTCTCTTTTCGTTTCCAGTTGCACGACCTTTGATGCGACGGCACGACCGATCGCCTATGAAGTGACGGTGCTTCTGAAACAAACGCGATTCGTACGTTTGCACGGCACCGAATGAATTTCCTTTCGATTTAGAATGACCGCGAGCTAAGGAAATACGACTTTCTCCCGCTGATCGACGAGCATCAAAAGGATCTGATCAGACCTATCGGGTTTGATGGAACAACGAAACTCACGCCGATCTATTGCTTGTTCTCCGACGCTCCCAGCATTCAGTTCGATTCGAATTTCGCAGATTCTGAAAATCCTGAAACCACTGGAGCTCTTGTTCAAGCAGAAACAACTTTGAGAATAAAGAATTTCACAAAAATCGATCTCCATGTGAAAGAACGGGACAAATTCATGAACAAGTTTGCTTCGCTGAATCAAGAAGAGAAGCAGAGATTCATTGAATCCGTTCCGGGGATCCTCGAAAAGAGAAAAGAGCTTCGAATCGTCTTTCACTCGTATGATGACATGGATGTGGAGCTGGGTAGCGCAGAGAAGAAAGGTGGCTCAATCGAGGCTTTATTTGAGGATGTGCTCGCCCAGGATCTCTACATGCAGATGCACCAGTTCCATGAGGCTTTCCAAACCCTCCACCAGCTCTCCTCATTGACTTTGGAGTTCTGGCAACCGCATCGGCAGTTGGCCGAGATGATTGAGTGGCTGACGGACATTCGGAAGACATGCTACACGCAGCGGGTCTACTTCCGCTGTTATATGTCGGCGCACACCAACGAGGAGTGGCTGCTGGTAGGGAAGGACGACCAGAGTTTCAATCGGAGCAGCTTCATCAGGAAAGACCTTGACATGATACGGACGATCTATGGGAAATGGGTGGAGACCCTGACAAGAGAAGTGTTCATCTCGAGAGATGCGTGGAGAGTCGAACTGAAGAGGCTGAAGGATTGCGAGTATGTCAACGAAACTGACGAATCCGATCAAGGAGGCGCCGATTTGGAAAAGATCGAGAAGTACGACGAGTTCCGCTTTCTGCGCGAGGAGCCCATCGACATCTATATGCTCATTTCGGCGATGGAACGGGCAATGGTACGACTGGAGAACGCGATTCGCTGCCAAGTCTCGAATTGGGTGCCCCCGGAGATGCTGCTGCCTGACTCGCCAACTATTTCAAAGCGACTGGCGCTCGATTTCCCGATACCCGGCTACATCTTTCAGGTATCAAAATGGGCTTTGTCGATTGTGAAATTCATCAGTTGTTAACGTCGCCAATTGTAAATTTGTCCTTTCCTCGTCATTTGCATCTGAATTAGCAAATTTACCATTGATGACTTTATCATTGGCGACCAATTGGCGAACTTAACAATGGCAAATTTCACTTTTGATTGACCATGCAAGATTGACCATTGACGAAACTCAAATCAGTCATCAAATTCCATATTTCAGCTGAGGAACCCGCCCCGATCAGTGTGCATTCATCAACCTAAATGCCCGACGATCGGGGAATTGCCGAGTTTCTTCGAGAAGTCTTTCAATTTTCCGGAAGGCCACCAACAACTATTCGAGTACGAGTGCGCCGACGAGAGGTTGCGCGAATATATCCACAATTTTCACTGCTTCTGTGACACGCTACAACGGGCTGCCGGCATGTGGGCCGGTGCTGCGAGCGGCTTCTCCATTCTCGATGAACCACCCCAGCTTGAGGGAGGAAAAAACGAGACGGAACGAATTTTGCCCTATTATTTCATCTTTTTGCTGATCGCCAAGGGGCTACCGGTGACCGATCCACGGGCCTTAATAGTGCTGCTCGATGATCCGAAGAATTATGAGCCAGGCGAACGGATTCCGTGCTTCGATGAAAACAGATTTTACACGATCAGTGCTGGAAGCGCAGCCGAGGAGCTGAAGCGAATGGATGCGATGAATTCGAAACTGTTTCTGATGGCCGACTGGACGAGACGGGGCTGGATTCTGAGGGAAGACGGACAAGTGTGGAAGCCAGAAACGAGCTCATAAATAAAGAAATTTCAATGAAGATTTCCCTTTTGATTTTCGTACAGTGTAACAAGACACCACAATGCATGGGTTTTCGGAAAAAAAGCACTTCTGTAGAGAACGATAGTTAAAGGAGGGGGGCACATCCGCGCGAAACTGCGTTTTCTATCCGATCCACATGTTTGAGTATACATTCGATGCAGAAAAATGTCCTGAATGCAATGGTGAAAAAATTATCAAAATCCGCCTTGTGGCTTTTTTTAAAAATCGCATTTTATTTTTAAAAATCCGTCATTTTACACAGGGACTGCCGGACTCACCTGTATTTGGCCCTCCACTACCCGGTGAGAACAGAAAATTCGGAAATGCCAGGGAGTCGACTTTGTGAAATTGTTGTCTGCGGTCATTTTGAGACCAAAATCGTATGAATTGGTCAACTCAAAAACAAAGTTATAACAGTTTGAAGACAAAAATGACGTCTTAGACGAAAGAGGTATTAATCGCGGCCGGGGGTGACATGACATGATGATGACAATCGGAGAAACGGTTACAAAGATGCCCAGATTGTGGGAAACTTCCACAAAATAGGACAAGAAAGAAAGATTGAATGGAAAACATGACAGCCATCATCCGTTTTGATTCTACTAATTATTCTCGAACTCGTTGGTCCAAGTAATTGTTTATTCCCGGCACTGAGGCACGAACTGGTAACCTTGTCTTGACTGCCACTTTGGCTTTGTCGAATCACGAATTGTAAGTCACTTACACAATTGTTGCGCCTTGGTTAGCCTTGATCAAAAACTAGTTTTTTAAAAAGATTGATTGACATAAACTCATTTTTATCCGCAATACAACCATTAACAACATTAATAAAATTAGTTAGCAACTGTCTGAATTTCAAGATACAACAAACAAACTAAATGAAAAACAAAGTCAAACAACAATCAACTTAAACAAAACCTCTTTTTACTACGCACATAATGCATGTTACTGAAAGCGTCATTCTGAAATTGAAAAGAGCCAAAACCAGAAACGAAAAGATCACTTGTTAGTAGAAGTTCTTGCATGGTGGCATCTCGAGTTGCAAAGTAGACTCTTCTTTCGAGAAGCACATCGATTTGTCGTACATCCGCTCAGGCACAAGCAATGAGCGTGACCTAAAATTATAATATTTTAGCTGAGGTAAAAACATTTGAATTTGTAAGAAAAAGAAAAAAGAAAGATTAACAAGAAAGATTATAGGTGCAAATAAATGTACTTACCTTGGCTCCCAGAGATCGATGATGCCCCAACAACAGTTCTCAACGATGTCTCCCCGTCCGGAATTGAATTGATCGAGAAGAATTCAGCTCCACATGGAGCCAGTTGATTCCTAGTGAATGTTTGCCGAAGATGCCCATTTTGTCTCCCGATCGAGTAAAAACCATCAGTTACAGCTAGAATTTCTTTTTACCTTTAGAAATAAATTTTAAAGTACCTGTGATGATTCCCAACAAATTTCGTGGTCCAATCTTGGGTCGATCGACACAAGGAATTGGCATCAAAACATTTTGTCCAACATCAATTGGTGTAAATCTAGAAGTAATCATAATGAAAACATTGAAAACGCAAAAGTACCTTTGTTCACTGGCGTGAAGCACCTTTCGTGCCTGATTCTCCTGAGCAGAATGGGCTCCATGTCTTTCCATCATAATCGAATCGTGTAGACAATCGATTTCCGCTTGCTCCTCATCTTTTTGAACACCTAAAGCCAAATAATGCTTAGTAAATATTTTAAAAAGCAAACCAAGTATTGGACCAACAATCCCAAGTTGAAAGTCGGCGCCATTACTCCTCTGATTTGCGAATTCAGGAAATTTCTAAACAATAACGTTATTTTTATGTATTTAAAACGTAATTTATACCTCAACACCACTCTCAATTGAATCCATGAAGCTTACAGGTCGTAGATCGGCGTAACGAGTAGAATTATCTTCCTAAAGTTGCAAATAAAGAAAAAACAAGGTTTAAATTAACCTGAAGTTTTCTCCGCCTCCTCGTAGGCACTTGTTTGCTGGATTTCGTCGTCGTCTGACAAAACCTAAACCACACAGTTTACTCCAAATATTCCAGACCTACAAATATTTCAAACCTTACTTCTTCCTTAGTAATCGCTGTAGCATTTTCCGAGTCTCGTCCAAACATTGCAACATATGGGCTACGTCCAATACCGGAATGAAATCTATGGACAAAATTTAAACGAAAATAAACTTGTAATCGCCATCTGGAGCACTTTGCATGTCGATCAAATCAACTTGACATCGCTGGTTTTGGTTGCTCCTCCATTTCTTTTCTTCTCGACTAAAAAAGCAAAATTAACCCCGGTATTTTGTTAAAATTACGGAAACTATACAAGAAAAAAAACCGTCCTCATAAAGCTGCCCCGTTGCTTGTTATTCTAGTCTTCTTGAAAGTCGACGAGCGTAAGAGAGTCCACATCAACAACCCTAAAACAATTTTGTTTAATTTGTTTTTAAAAGGCTAAAGAGGAGCAAAAAAAATACCTTAAAATGGTCGTCCTCCGCATTTCTTGAAGTCGGACACCACGCGAAAGACTTGATTTTCGTCGCAGCTCACGTCAAAAGCTCGCTAAAACTTAAAAATTTCAAAATGCTATGTAAAATTAAAGAAAACATATTTAAAACGGAAAAAGTTAAGAAACACTATTAAAAAATTATATTATTTACGTATTTACCAGACCTATTGTCTACATTTGCACTAGAACCATTCAAAAACAAATTCCACGCCCTAAAAAACCTAAATCCTTAAATAAAACTATCCTAAAACTATAAAAAGAAAGGCGCTATAGTTTTTATTTTACCCTCCCTCCTATAGCCCATCAAAAAATGCAAAAATGCAATAAATTTCATGAAAAATTCCGATTCATTTTTAAAAATAGCTTACCTGTCTGAAGAATTTGTGGAGGGCCAAAGGTTCCAAAAATCGATACGATGTTTTCGACTACTTCTCTAATTTTTGATTGGAATACACTTCTTAATAGGTAAACAGAACTTAAAAATATTTATAATGCTATTTTTCCTAGTCTGGATTGAACTCTGTGTTGCTAAATGCTAAATTCGTCTAGCAAAATTGCTAGATGGTAAATTGGTCAATGTTAGATGGCTTTTTCAGAGCATTACCTTGGCTAGCATGCTTTCCAGCATCGCTAACGCTTTCCAAATCAAAAATTTTGCCTCATAAAGTAAATTATTTGGCAAACGGTATTTGGGCGTAGTTTTGTATATAAAACACAAATTTAAGCATCATTTGGTATTTTTAGTTATTTAAAATCAAAAATCGAGGGTGGTTCTATCATTTTGCAACGCACTGTAGCGAGTCACTTCTGAGAGTCTAGCTCAGCAAGAACTCAATGAATTCGTATGAAATTTTTGGCGGTGACTTTTGAGTATGTCTCCTGTAGCTGGGTCGATTTTCTAGATGATTGGTGCTCCTAGAATCTTTATATAGCCTTAGAAAGTTCGGAGTCACTACATTTTTTTTAGATGTAGCGTAGAGTCTCAGCTACATTTAAAAAAAAACAAGTTCGATTCGATGCCGGGAAGTAGTTGAAATCGCTCTTTAAAGTTGTGACGCAAAATGTGTCAAAGCCCATACAAAAATTGAACGATTTGACACAATTTGCGCCACAACTTTGACGATCGATTTCTACCACTTCCTAACATCCAATGGAGCTCGTTTTTTTTTAAATGAAGCGTAGAGTGTCAGCTACATCTAAAAAAACATATGAATATCGAATTAACTCAAAAATCTTTGGTGTGAGGTACAATAGCGTGACTTCCCTTTTCTGTATTCAATTCTGAATGCTGTTTATTGGTTTTTTTGTGATAATTGATTGAAATGTTTTTGATTCATTTTGCCATTATGTTAAGTTGTGCCTTTTTGATGATTTTATTTAATTTTTATTATTCTTAGATCAGAAACATGGAGAGTAAGACATTGAGTAAGATAATGGCTTTGGAAACTAAAGCGTCACAGAAACTAGAAGACTAAGCTTAAACAAGAAAAAAATTGAAAGGATTGATCAAGTATAGAGTGTGTTCCTCTTGTTTAATGCCTTTTCTAGAAAGCACTCATTTCAGAAAACTATCGTAGTCAAAACCATCGTTGGTAGACCAATTTTGGTATCATTGACTGAGCCTTGTGATTCCTCAAGAAGAACACACTCTATTCAAATATCCACAAGTACTATACCAAATACAAAAAATGATTTAAATCAATTTATGTGAATTTCTAAAAAACAATAATGTTATAAGAAAACTGTAAATTAAAAACGCAAAAGTTAAAGCAAACAAGCATTACTTTTTTGATAAATTTCGTTTCAAATGGTGCACTATAAAGTAATGCTTGTTCTCAACGTTGTTCTGAAACCATGGGTTAATTGATGATTTATGAAACACACACAAAAGATTTAAATAGGTTAGAGGTTTGATAAAAGTCGAGTCAAGACTATCGTAGCTTTCCAAGATTGATTTGAATTAAAAGTCAGAAAAAACAAGCCTCACTTCCATCGTCTCACAAAGCAATGCAGCATCTCGCACTCGCCCTCGAGCCTTCCAGTATCGGGTTCTCTGGCCACCAAGAATCTCAAATCATCCACGCAACCACTCTTCTGAAAACAATGTACTGAAATGAAATCCACAACGTCGTCCTTAATCCTTTCTCTCAATTCCAGCTCCATTTTTCCGCAAAGCTCCACATCTTCTACACTTTTCAATAAAGGATTATCAGTAAAAGCCTCCATTTCTCCATCATCCTCACGCCCCGGATAAAATGGAACAGAGATGAGGATCCGGCAATTCTCGTTTTCACTGGGCAATCCGTTTTTCATTATCCATTCTAGGCAACACTCCGGAATTCCATAGGGCGCGTTAATTTCAACGAATTCAACTCGAGTCTTGAATAAAGCCTCCAACAATTCTTGGTGTAAATCATCAAATGAAATTGCCTTGCAAAATCTCAGTCCAGTTTCGATGAAATCTATGAAATAGTCGGCGGCATTCAGGTCTCCCCATTTTTCCGTATTGAAATATGCGCTTCTCGTGACTTTAAAGCGAAATCCTTCACAGATCAGGTCCAAACAACTTGGCGTAGTCCCGTCGATATACAAATGTTTCACAAGTTTCACTTTTCTCAGCAAAGCTTCGAGCAATCTGTCGAGCTCGTAATTTTCCATTTCGTAATTATCCACGTCGTGAAGGTCATCCGCTAAGGACAAATTTCGAACGGTTGTAACGTTTTGTAGAAGTGAAATCGAGAAAGAATTTTGTTGTAAGAGATCGAATTCGTGAGAAGATTCATTCTTCATGACAGTAGCAGTGAAAGAATTTGAATCATCGATAAACTTGAACATCACTTTATCAGCTCGTTTCCCGAATAGACCGTTAGACAAGACTTTATAGCGAAGAAAATGATTGGTTTTTAAGAGTTGAAAATTCTCTTTTGGACCCGATTTCTCCAATATTAATTCTTTCAACCCCTTCGGGATCGTTGAGAAGGGAATTGGTACCAATTTTGGCATTATTCAACAGCTTTTGCGAAAATATTTAGATATTCAATCAATACTAGCCAATTTTAGGTATTCTTTTCCAAACAAACATTTTTTTGCTTTTGGTAAACAACAAGTTTTCGTTCTGAGACGCAGACTCGTTCAAGAGAAATCCCTCGTTGAAGAGACGCAGACTGTGACACCGTGACAAAAAGCAAAAAGAAGATCGGCACCTACCACAAAGCCATCTGCACCTACCACATTGCGAGGATCGGAAAAGAGCCTTTCTAAGCCCCGCACGGTTTCCCAAATATACACGTTTTTGAGTCTGGGCAAAAACTGTATACAGCATCGAATGTTTGACTTTGTTTTTCATTTAGTTTGTTTGTTGTATCTTGAAATTCAGACAGTTGCTAACTAATTTTATTAATGTTGTTAATGGTTGTATTGCGGATAAAAATGAGTTTATGTCAATCAATCTTTTTAAAAAACTAGTTTTTGATCAAGGCTAACCAAGGCGCAACAATTGTGTAAGTGACTTACAATTCGTGATTCGACAAAGCCAAAGTGGCAGTCAAGACAAGGTTACCAGTTCGGGCCTCAGTGCCGGGAATAAACAATTACTTGGACCAACGAGTTCGAGAATAATTAGTAGAATCAAAACGGATGATGGCTGTCATGTTTTCCATTCAATCTTTCTTTCTTGTCCTATTTTGTGGAAGTTTCCCACAATCTGGGCATCTTTGTAACCGTTTCTCCGATTGTCATCATCATGTCATGTCACCCCCGGCCGCGATTAATACCTCTTTCGTCTAAGACGTCATTTTTGTCTTCAAACTGTTATAACTTTGTTTTTGAGTTGACCAATTCATACGATTTTGGTCTCAAAATGACCGCAGACAACAATTTCACAAAGTCGACTCCCTGGCATTTCCGAATTTTCTGTTCTCACCGGGTAGTGGAGGGCCAAATACAGGTGAGTCCGGCAGTCCCTGTGTAAAATGACGGATTGACGGTCAGCTACATTTAAAAAAACATATAAATATCCAATTAACTCAAAAATTTTTGGTGTGAGTTACAATAGCGTGGCTTCCCTTTTCTGTATTCAATTCTGAATGCTGTTTATCGGTTTTTTTTGTGAAAATTGATTGAAATGTTTTTGATTCATTTTGCCATTATGTTAAGTTGTGCTTTTTTGATGATTTTATATAATTTTTATTATTCTTAGATCAGAAACATGGAGAGTAAGACAATGGCTTTGGAAACTAAAGCGTCACAGAAACTAGAAGACTGAGCTTAAACAAGGAAAAAAAGGTATCATTGACTGTGCCTTGTGATTCCTCAAGAAGAACACACTCTATTCAAAAAAACTACAAGTACTTAGTTACTGCACGCTCCGTTCTCCGCACTGCTTTATGCTACAGTGTGCGCTTGGGTGTCAAAGGATAGCGCTTTTGATCTAGTATTTTTTGATACCAAAAACAATTTAGAAAAATCTAGGGAAAAAAAGAAAAAAATTTCGTAATCTTTCACAGCACAAAAGCTTTCACATTCAATTTCCACATTTTTGTTTATTCCCTTTAGGAGATGCTTTCCAAAATTTTCTCAAGACACTTTTTGCAAGCTCTTGGGGTTAATGCTAATCTCAAACTTGGGTAATTGAACCAATATGTGGAGCCTCTGCCGCCTATCAGTGGAGCCCACAAGATGCGGTTTGTTTCTAAGCGACATACAAAATCTGCACACAGTCGCGTCTCTTCAACAAGGGATTTCCGGGTCCCAGAACGAAAATTCGTTGTCTATCAAAAGCAAAAAAATGCTTGTTTGGAAAAAATACCTAAAATTCGTTAATATTGATTGAATATCGAAAGATATTCGTAAAAGCTATTGAATAATGCCGATTTTGATGCCGTTGAGATGCAAACGTCTATCGGACACGGGGAACCCGATGCTGTATTCAGTTTTTGCCCATATTCAAAAACGTGTATATTTGGGAAATCGTGCGGGACTTACAAAGGCTCTTTTCCGATCCTCGCAATGTGGTAGGTCTTTGGTAGGGCTTTGACGTAGGTGCCGATCTTCTTTTGGCTTTTTGTCACAGTGTCACAGAGTCTGCGTCTCTTCAACAAGGGATTTCCGGGTCTCAGAACGAAAATTCGTTGTCTATCAAAGAAATGTTTGAAAAAAAAAATACCTAAAATTCGCTAGTATTGATTGAATTTCGAAATATATTCGTAAAAGCTGTTGAATAATGCCAAAATTGGTACCGATTCCCTTCTCAGCGATTCCCAAAGATTTGAAAGAACTAATATTGGACAAATCGGGTCCAAAAGAGAATTTTCAACTCTTAAAAACCAATCATTACCTTCGCTATAAAGTCTTGTCTAACGGTCTATTCGGGGAACGAGCTGATAAAGTGATCTTCCATTTTCTCGGAGATTCAAATTCTTTCACTGCTACTGTCACGAAGAATAAATCTTCTCACAAATTCGATCTCTTACAACAAAATTCTTTCTCTATTTCACTTCTGCAAAACGTTACAACCGTTCGAACTTTGTTCTTAACGAATGAGTTGCACGACACGGAAATGGAAGGTTACGAGCTCGACAGGTTGCTCGAAGTTTTGCTGAGAAAAGTGAAACTTGTGAATGATTTGCATATCGACCAGGTTACGCCAAGTTGGTTGGACGCGATCTGTAAAGGATTTCGCTTTAAAGTCATGGAATCGGCACATTTCAATACGGGAACATCTGGAGAACTGAATACCGCTCACAATTTCATAGATTTCATCGAAACTGGATTGAGATTTTGCAAGAAAATTTCATTTGATACTTTACACGAAGAATTGTTGCAAGCTTTATTGAAGACTCGAGTTGAGTTCATTGAAATTGACGTGCCCTATGGAATTCCGGAGTGTTGCCCAGAATGGATAATGAAAAACGGATTGCCCAGTGAAAACGAGAATTGCCGGATCCTCATTTCTGTTCGATTTTATCCGGAAGACGAGGATAATAGCGAATATGAGGCTTTTACTGATAATCCTTTATTGGAAATTGTAGAAGATATGGAGATTTGCAGAGAAATGGGACTGGAATTGAGCGAAAAGCTTGAGGAATTTAATCTTTATGATTTGACTTCAACTGATTATTTCATTTCAGTACATTGTTTTCAGAAGAGTGGTTGCGTGGATGATTTGAGATTTTTGGTGGCCAGAGAACCCGATACTGGAAGACTCGAGGGCCTGTTCGAGATGCTGCATTTCTTTGTGACACGATTGAAGTGAGGCTTGTTTTTTCTGACTCTTAATTCAAATCAAGCTTCAAAAACTACGATAGTCTTGACTCGACTTTTATCAAACCTCTAGACTATTTAAATCTTTTGTGCGTGTTTCACAAATCATCAATTAACCCATAGTTTCAGAACAACACTGAGAACAAGCATGACTTTATAGTTTCCCATTTGAAACGAAATTTATCAAAAAAGTAATGCTTGTTTGCTTTAACTTTTGTGTTTTTAACTTACAATTTTCTTATAACATTATTGTTTTTAGAAATTCACATAAATTGATTTAAATCATTTTTTGTATTTGGTATAGTACTTCTGGATATTTGAATAGAGTGTGTTCCTCTTGAGGAATCACAAGGCTCAGTCAATGATACCTTTTTTTCCTTGTTTAAGCTCAGTCTTCTAGTTTCTGTCACGCTTTAGTTTCCAAAGCCATTGTCTTACTCTCCATGTTTCTGATCTAAGAATAATAAAAATTATATAAAATCATCAAAAAAGCACAACTTAACATAATGGCAAAATGAATCAAAAACATTTCAATCAATTTTCACCAAAAAAACCGATAAACAGCATACAGAGTTGAATACAGAAAAGGGAAGCCACGCTATTGTACCTCACACCAAAAATTTTTGAGTTAATTGGATATTTATATGTTTTTTTAAATGTAGCTGACACTCTACGCTTCATTTTAAAAAAAACGAGCTCCATTGGATGTTAGGAAGTGGTAGAAATCGATCGTCAAAGTTGTGGCGCAAATTGTGTCAAATCGTTCAATTTTTGTATGGGATTTGACACATTTTGCGTCACAACTTTAAAAATCGATTTCAACTACTTTCCGGCATCGAATCGAACTTGTTTTTTTAAAAAATATAGCTGAGACTCTACGTTACATCTAAAAAAAATGTAGTGACTCCGAACTTTCTAAGGTTATATAAAGATTCTAGGAGCACCAATCATCTAAAAAATCGGCTTAGTCACAGGAGACATACTCCAAAAACCACCGCCAAAAATTTCATACGAATTCATTGAGTTCTCGCGGAGCTAGACCCTCAGGAGTGACTCGCTACAGTGCGTTGCAAAATGATAGGACCACCCTCGATTTTTGCGATTTTTGATTTTAAATAACTAAAAATACAAAATGATGCTTAAATTTGTGTTTTATATACAAAACTACGCCCAAATACCGTTTGCCAAATAATTTACTTTATGAGGCAAAATTTTTGATTTGGAAAGCGTTGGAAAGCATGCTAGCCAAGGTAATGCTCTGAAAAAGCCATCTAACATTGACCAATTTACCATCTAGCAATTTTGCTAGACGAATTTAGCATTTAGCAACACAGAGTTCAATCCAGACTAGGAAAAATAGCATTATAAATATTTTTAAGTTCTGTTTACCTATTAAGAAGTGTATTCCAATCAAAAATTAGAGAAGTAGTCGAAAACATCGTATCGATTTTTGGAACCTTTGGCCCTCCACAAATTCTTCAGACAGGTAAGCTATTTTTAAAAATAAATCGGAATTTTTCATGAAATTTATTGCATTTTTGCATTTTTTGATGGGCTATAGGAGGGAGGGGGGGGGGGTAAAATAAAAACTATAGCACCTTTTTTTATTTTTGCTTTTAGACAATGGCAGAGAGTTTGCAAATAAACTCTTGGAAGAAGCCGTCGCTCAATGGCCCGGTTGCAAGATCGTTCACGGGAAACCGCGCGATCACAAGGAAGTGTAGAACAAGCAAACGTGGATATCGAGGTTAGTTTGGCTGCTCATAAAAATACTTGTGGTCGTTTAGGATATCTTGAGCGTTCATCAAAGAGAAACAAAAACTACCGAATGGGCCCGATTTTTGCCCTTGATTCAATATCGTAAAAACATCAGGTAACTTTAGTTTTTTTGGAAATTTTGTCCATAGATTTCATTCCGGTATTGGACGTAGCCCATATGTTGCAATGTTTGGACGAGACTCGGAAAATGCTACAGCGATTACTAAGGAAGAAGTAAGTTTTGAAATATTTGTAGGTCTGGAATATTTGGAGTAAACTGTGTGATTTAGGTTCTGTCAGACGACGACGAAATCCAGCAAACAAGTGCCTACGAGGAGGAGGAGAAAACTTCAGGTTAATTTAAATCTTGTTTTTTTTCTTTATTTGCAACTTTAGGAAGATAATTCTACTCGTTACGCCGATCTACGACCTGTAAGCTTCATGGATTCAATTGAGAGTGGTGTTGAGGTATAAATTACGTTTTAAATACATAAAAATAACGTTATTGTTTAGAAATTTCCTGAATTCGCAAATCAGAGGAATAATGACGCCGAATTTCAACTTGGGATTGTTGGTCCAATGCTTGATTTGCTTCTTAAAATATTTACTAAACATTATTTGGCTTTAGGTGTTCAAAAAGATGAGGAGCAAGCGGAAATCGATTGTCTACACGATTCGATTATGATGGAAAGACATGGAGCCCATTCTGCTCAGAGAATCAGGCACGAAAGATGCTTCACGCCAGTGAACAAAGGTACTTTTGCGTTTTCAATGTTTTCATTATGATTACTTCTAGATTTGCACCAATTGATGTTGGACAAAATGTTTTGATGCCAATTCCTTGTGTCGATCGACCCAAGATTGGACCACGAAATTTGATGGGAGTCGTCACAGGTACTTTTAAATTTATTTCTAAAGGTAAAAAGAAATTCTAGCTGTAACTGATGGTTTTTACTCGATCGGGAGACAAAATGGGCATCTTCGGCAAACATTCACTAGGAATCAACTGGCTCCATGTGGAGCTGAATTCTTCTCGATCAATTCAATTCCGGACGGGGAGACATCGTTGAGAACTGTTGTTGGGGCATCATCGATCTCTGGGAGCCAAGGTAAGTACATTTATTTGCACCTATAATCTTTCTTGTTAATCTTTCTTTTTTCTTTTTCTTACAAATTCAAATGTTTTTACCTCAGCTAAAATATTATAATTTTAGGTCACGCTCATTGCTTGTGCCTGAGCGGATGTACGACAAATCGATGTGCTTCTCGAAAGAAGAGTCTACTTTGCAACTCGAGATGCCACCATGCAAGAAGTTTTACTAACAAGTGATCTTTTCGTTTCTTGTTTTGGCGCTTTTCAATTTCAGAATGACGCTTTCAGTAACATGCATTATGTGCGTAGTAAAAGAGGTTTTGTTTTAAGTTGATTGTTGTTTGACTTTGTCTTTCATTTAGTTTGTTTGTTGTATCTTGAAATTCAGACAGTTGCTAACTAATTTTATTAATGTTGTTAATGGTTGTATTGCGGATAAGAATGAGTTTATGTCAATCAATCTTTTTAAATCTTTTAAAAATCTTGTTTTTTAACATTTTCACTAACTTTTTATTTCTACTACGGATCACTTGAAAGCTCTAGCCGTTTATGTTCATCATCGCTAGTGTTATGATGTTTCAGAGTGTCTTGGACTATTAATTTCATGCTATTTTAATGTTTTTTACGCATCGTTTAATTGTTATCGTTTATTGTTGTTGGTCATGTTATTTTTAAATAAATTATCAAAATTAAAAGCTGCTAATAAAAAAAATGAGCGTACATTGTAAAAGAAAAAAAAACTTTGTTTTGCATCGGCGCTGTTTTGGGCGTTTTTCATTGGCGCTGTTTTGGTCGGCGCTGTTATGCTCGGCGCTATTTTGGCGGCGCTGTTTTGGGATAGATCCGTGGTCCTATCATTTTGCAACGCACCTTATTGCGCCTAATGGATCTTTTTGGCTTTCTAAGACCTAAACTGAAAAACAAACTGCTAAATCTAAACTGCTTAATGGATCTAAACATTAACCTAAACTGAAAAACAACAATTAATCATAAAATCTACGTGTAATTTTACATAGAATAGAATTAGAAAAAAATAGAAGGACTTTGGACTTCAAACTTTTGGACCTCTGAAAAGCGATACTCATGGAAAAAGACTCAGAAAATAAAAACTACAAAAGCTAAAGTAAAATCAAATGCAGTTCCAGAAACTAGATAAAAAATGACGCAAAATATAGGTTTGGTGAACCCATAATATTTTCATCCAAGGCGCTCTGGATGCGTTTTACTTTCTGAACTGGTGGTGTGTCCAAACTTTTGGACCCTACTGTATATGGCACACCCCACATCCGCGTGAAATAAAGCAAAAAATCGTTTGGGTTCATGGATTTTTCAGAGCCAGGTAAGTAAAGTCAGGCAAGAAGCTAGTGGTTCGTCAGCAAATCTGCTCGAAATTTGGGAGAGCTTTATAAAAATTGATTATGGTAATTTTAGAAAACGATTTATTTGCGAGCGGAAGAAAATTCTAGTTTAAAAACAGTTTGAATTGCTTAGAAAACTGAAAAAAAGCTTCTGTTTTTGCAGTTCTTGCAGTTGCATCTATTATTCTGCTCAAACATCTCTCTTCAAGTCAAAGAAAAGCAAATTGGGGCGATTATGTTTGGGTGAGCTTTTCCCTATCCGCTAATTGTGCAATGTTTTAGATTTTCTACGTTTAAAACAATAATAGATCATTTATTCTTCGAAAAAACGAATCGACAATGTACACATTTCAGCGCAAAATTCAGCCAGTCTTTGCTCGAATTTCTCACCACGCCGTTGATGACACTTTGCTCGGTTTCCTGAAAGATTAATAACAATTCAAAGACCAAGGTGTACTTTGTGCCGAAATTTATTAACACACCCTTTCTGGCGCACTCATTCATCATTTTCCTCGCGGCACCAAGAGAAAATGCCGAATTGAGTGCATCAGGAACTGCGTGTTTGCATTTGAACACAAAGTATACGGTGTCAAGTGTGCCAAAAGGGGTGCGTTTCCATTTTGAATAAAGTACAATCTTACCATTGAATGCTCAGCTCTTTCCGCAAACCAATGTTTCAAAGAAATCCACTGATCCACGTCCAAATAGATTGCCCAGTAATCGATTTTAATGTTTCCATGATACCAATCCTGAAAATACTTGTAAATAGATCGAGTAAAGCTATTTGCGCTTAGAAAGCTACGTTCAAATACCTCCAGTTGCTCCATTACAACGCTCTTTCGTTTGATAAAGTTAGAGCCGTGCTCGGAAAACGTTGGTGATAACTAAAATTGTATATTGGAGTTGATTTTTTGAACAGAACTTGAGATCTCAATACAACAATAACTGAATTTGGTAAAGTTCTTCCCAAAAGCTAACAACCAGGATTAGAGCTAATTTCTAGCTGGCTTGAATTATCAAGAGCTAGAGCAGGTTGTCATAGCTAACAATAACACACACCGGACAATACTGTAGCGTCTTTCCGGGATACGGTAGCCTGAGTCTGCTTTAAGGGTACTGCAGCACCTTGTTTGGCTACAGTAGCCTGCCCTAGGGATACTGTAGCTCCTTTTGTCTGACATCTAGCCGAATTCGAATAAAGAACCTTGAGTACTGTAAGCCGTTAGTCAGATCTATTCATAAATTTCATGATTTACGTTAATCCTAGTGCACCAAAGTGTACACAGTATAAAGTGTTTTGAGTCAAGTACAAAGATTTGTCTCTTGCTACTATTACGGTAGTATTTGGTTTCCCAAGTTTGGTAAAAGCTTTATGAAACTGTTTACCCGGAAACTTGGCTCAGCGTTGCCCAACCAAGCTTCGTTGCACCGAAAAAGGCGAGATCGTGGATTTGAACCTTTTGAATATCATCAAGCTAGAAGACTTTAAGTTTTTAAATTCAGCTTTTCCTATCGTAATCCTTTCTATCAATGGCTCATAGATCTCTTCAACGGATTGATTTCTGTAGTGAACCTCGGAGGAGTGGATTTCGAGGGAGTGTTGTGGGGTGAACGAGTGGAACAAGCTGTCTTTATAGTTCAGTGTGCCAGATAGCTAGTGATTCTAATTTTGTATTATCCTCAAAACTGAAACCCTTTCTGAAGGCCCTTCAATTCTTTTTGTTCCTTTTCACTTGAGTAAAAAGCTCAATAATTTACCTAAAGTTGAGAATTCATTTGAGTGTTTTTTGATTGTTTTTTTGATGATTTATGCCTAAATGTTTAACAAAATTGTTCAAAATCGTTTAATATTGTCTATGAATCTCAGCATCGAGCAGATTGATGTAAAAAGATAGTCTCGTGCGGCCGGCTTTCAAATCCTTCAACAGGGTGCAATTCTTCAACGAAACCGTTGCTGGGAGATCATCTTGAGCATCAATATAGTCCATGGGCTCATCAGTCTAAATATTCAATATAAAACGCTCACCTAACGCTAACCAAATTCTTTAATTAAAGTGGAATGAATTCTAAATTTAAGCACTTTCTGCTTGAGTAACTTTGGGAGCAACGTATAGAATTACTCACGGATTGCCGAAGAAACTCATGATTGAGGCACTCGTCAGCGGAGAGCCGCTTCTTCGGATCCACCAACAACATTTGAGTGATTAAATCGCAAAGTGAGTTCTCTGGAAAAGCAGAATTAGGGAATCATTTCCAGAGAAATCTTTTTGCGATACCGTCGCGCTTTTATTTGAAATTTTCAAAAAACCCAATGATAAACCGGAGCTTTTTTCGAGAAATTTTTTGCCATTATTCCTAGTGATCTCCAAAATCGCCTTGAATAAACCTTCTTCTTTGCTTCCATCTACCAAAGCAATTTTTCTTTCCAAGTCGGCAGACAACGATCCATCACGAGGTTGACACGGCACTTGGTTACCAAGGCTAAAAGTCTGCCTAATAAGTTTACCAAGTGAGGAGTCTCACATAGACTTAAATCGATCAAGCGGCACACCAAGAACTTCAAACATTCTGTCCAAAACCGCAGATTCGCCGCCTCTTCTTCTCACCTAAAAATTTATCGTATAAAAGATCCTTGTCAAAATGAACTTTGGAATGAATTTAGAGATCCTTTTTAACACATTGGCGATCGGCCGCTTTTCATAAAACTGCCGCCTGGGCCAGAGCGTTTTTATTAGTCAACCAGCAGAAAACGTTCACTTCATGGTATTTCCCGCCTCCGCGGAGGCGGGGAACGCATTCGGGGCCTTCGGGACGGGCTCGCGGAACGTGCATAGTTTAAAGGACCCATGTAAAGTACCTTCCGCTAATAATTATCTAGCTATTCCTTAAACCATGATTCTTGAGGGCTCTTTGAACACATTCAACCCGTTCCTGTTAGCTTTCTTTCTTTAAAATGGCTAAAACTACCGTAACTCATGTTAAGCCGCTTTTTTTAAAAATGGACCTAAAAGGCAGATTTCCCATAGCCGAAGACCCCCAGCAGTAAAATATTGCGCGCAAAAGCTGCATACTTTGCCTTTTAATTGATAGAGCGAACGCAATTACACAGCGTCGCGTTTGCGCATTCATGCTCTTCCAAATAAATGGCAAAATGTGATACTTAATAATGATGAATACCTTGAATAAATACTTGTTTTGAAAAACTTCAGATCAAAAACTCCCAGAAACATA